GGCGCTATAAAAAGGTAGGAAAGCAGAAGCAAACATTATACCAGGGACGAACGGTTAGAGCTGTGCGAATCGAGGTTTTTGCCTTCGAATCGAATCGAATCGAATTTCAAAAATTTTCTTCGAATCGGGTCGAATCGAATTGGCTCAAAAATTTCGAATCGAATCGAATCGAATTTCAAAAATTTTCTTCGAATCGGGTCGAATCGAATTGGCTCAAAAATTTCGAATCGAATCGAATCGAATTTCAAAAATTTTCTTCGAATCGGGTCGAATCGAATTGGCTCAAAAATTTCGAATCGAATCGAATCGAATTTCAAAAATTTTCTTCGAATCGGGTCGAATCGAATTGGCTCAAAAATTTCGAATCGAATCGAATCGAATTTCAAAAATTTTCTTCGAATCGGGTCGAATCGAATTGGCTCAAAAATTTCGAATCGAATCGAATCGAATTTCAAAAATTTTCTTCGAATCGGGTCGAATCGAATTGGCTCAAAAATTTCGAATCGAATCGAATCGAATTTCAAAAATTTTCTTCGAATCGGGTCGAATCGAATTGGCTCAAAAATTTCGAATCGAATCGAATCGAATTTCAAAAATTTTCTTCGAATCGGGTCGAATCGAATTGGCTCAAAAATTTCGAATCGAATCGAATCGAATTTCAAAAATTTTCTTCGAATCGGGTCGAATCGAATTGGCTCAAAAATTTCGAATCGAATCGAATCGAATTTCAAAAATTTTCTTCGAATCGGGTCGAATCGAATTGGCTCAAAAATTTCGAATCGAATCGAATCGAATTTCAAAAATTTTCTTCGAATCGGGTCGAATCGAATTGGCTCAAAAATTTCGAATCGAATCGAATCGAATTTCAAAAATTTTCTTCGAATCGGGTCGAATCGAATTGGCTCAAAAATTTCGAATCGAATCGAATCGAATTTCAAAAATTTTCTTCGAATCGGGTCGAATCGAATTGGCTCAAAAATTTCGAATCGAATCGAATCGAATTTCAAAAATTTTCTTCGAATCGGGTCGAATCGAATTGGCTCAAAAATTTCGAATCGAATCGAATCGAATTTCAAAAATTTTCTTCGAATCGGGTCGAATCGAATTGGCTCAAAAATTTCGAATCGAATCGAATCGAATTTCAAAAATTTTCTTCGAATCGGGTCGAATCGAATTGGCTCAAAAATTTCGAATCGAATCGAATCGAATTTCAAAAATTTTCTTCGAATCGGGTCGAATCGAATTGGCTCAAAAATTTCGAATCGAATCGAATCGAATTTCAAAAATTTTCTTCGAATCGGGTCGAATCGAATTGGCTCAAAAATTTCGAATCGAATCGAATCGAATTTCAAAAATTTTCTTCGAATCGGGTCGAATCGAATTGGCTCAAAAATTTCGAATCGAATCGAATCGAATTTCAAAAATTTTCTTCGAATCGGGTCGAATCGAATTGGCTCAAAAATTTCGAATCGAATCGAATCGAATTTCAAAAATTTTCTTCGAATCGGGTCGAATCGAATTGGCTCAAAAATTTCGAATCGAATCGAATCGAATTTCAAAAATTTTCTTCGAATCGGGTCGAATCGAATTGGCTCAAAAATTTCGAATCGAATCGAATCGAATTTCAAAAATTTTCTTCGAATCGGGTCGAATCGAATTGGCTCAAAAATTTCGAATCGAATCGAATCGAATTTCAAAAATTTTCTTCGAATCGGGTCGAATCGAATTGGCTCAAAAATTTCGAATCGAATCGAATCGAATTTCAAAAATTTTCTTCGAATCGGGTCGAATCGAATTGGCTCAAAAATTTCGAATCGAATCGAATCGAATCAGTCCAAATTCGAGCCCGAATCGAATCGAAAAAAAATCTGTTGTATTTTTCGCATGCAAGTCACGCGGTATTTTTAAACTTATTTAAACTGGCCCTGTACCGTAGATGTTCGACGACCGTACAACGTGTAGTGCGGGCATAGAGCGGGTGCCGCACACTAGACCCCAATGCGATTCGATGTCGAACCAACCCGATTCGAAATTTCGAATTATTCGACATCGAATCAGGCAAATTCGAAATCGAACGAATTCGAATCAGGCCGATTCGATTCGAATCGATTCGATATCGAACAATTCGCACAGCTCTACGAACGGTGCCGGCCCTGCAACCTTTCGCTCTCTCCTCTTTCTAAAACAGAGTAA